GCTGGGGATTCCAGGCACTGTGCTCACTCCTCAGGAGGGATGAAGCAGCAAAGCCCCCGGTGGAGCAGCAGTGGGAAGGGGTCTCAAATATTTCACTTGAAAAATGAAAGATGTGGGCTCACTCAACTCCTATCTTTCTCCTCAGGGAAAGGCTTAAGGCTACAGGAAGACAAGGAGGACAGGAGGAAGCACAGGAGAAAAGCATGTCACCGCCCTGCTGCCCTAGGGCTCACAGCGTTGTCTGTCCTCGATGCAGGCCTTGCTGAGGTTTAGAAGGTCCAGGGAGGCCTGAGGATTCACTTGAGCTGCTGGTCCTGCTGGTCCTGCTGGTCCTCTGAGAACCATGCTTCAGTCCTGTGTCTACGGGGCATTTTGAAACCCTAGCAGCTCAGACCCTTCGGCAGTTTTCTATGCTGGTCTGTGAGGAGTTGGACTGGGTTGTATTACAGGGCCCTGTCTGCAGAAATGTGGAAATAAGTCATCAACGGGGTCAGAAGTTTCTCTTGCTTGGCTGACGTAGGAAAGGGTGCTGGAGGGTAACCCCTGCCGCGTTCTGCTTTAATTTCCAGGTCTTGTTTTCCTTTCACTGCTCCAGGAATTAACAACGGCCTCCCAGGTGGAGGCAGATCACGGGCCCTTCCTCTTGGGCACTGTTGTGACCTGGGGGCAGATGAACATGAGAAGGGGCAGACCTGGGGGAGGGCCCAGGGCAGCCTAGGTCAGGGACCCTCCACCTGACCTGGGGCAGCAATGGGGGGATGAGCCGGAGAGAGGTACCGGGGGTAGAAAACTATGCAATTGCAGACTTCCCACAATATACATGAGGTTAACACTATCATTTCAACACACTGCCTCCTAGACCCAATCACTTTTGTTAAATTATTACAATGTAAACATAAAAGATCCCACGACAGAATGCACAGGTACAGACTTCCAGGACCACAAGGGGCTGGAGCTGTGAGGCAGGATGCTCACTGTTCTCAGTCACCCTTTGCACCTTACGGGGCTCCAATGCCAGCACAGCTCCCAGCGGATGCAGAGGGGCCCACCCAAGCAGGGCCCCAAAGCAAGGTTCAAGAAAGACATGGTCAGGGAAGGACCACCCAGGTGCCCGGGCCTAGTCGACAGTATCTCACATGTCTGACTACTAATCTCCGAGTGTTCATCATCCCCAGACATTGCTCAGGAGATGAAAGTGTGCTTTGGATTAACAGAGATTTAGTTCATTGACATGACTGTGTGAGAAAAGAAAACAGCTAGAATGCCTAGAGGAAGGAATTGGTCCACACCCTCGGTGAGCTGCCAACTCCTGTGCTGGGCACCAGAAAGGCACTGGGGAATGACACCTGTCTCCCAGCCCCTCACTTCCACTACTTCACAGATGACACCCCAAAGTTCTGAGATGTACAAAATACACTTGGTTCATCCCAAAGCTCGCCTGCTCACATGTCAAATGAGGATGAGTTCATACATGAAGTATTAGCGCCTGCCATATAGAAATGGTCACTGATGTTAGTTATTCGTACTATTAATGGGGAAGACTTATATAGACTCGATTTATTTGAACTCTGTTTACTTTGCCATGGAAAAAACAAGCCAGTCTTTATGTCCACTCTGCCCTTAGGATTCACTCCATTGCTCAGAACTCTCCGCCCTACCAGGCCCTCCAGAAGCCCACATTCGGGGTCTCAGATGAAGAATCATTTTCGATTTTTGGTGTGCAACACAACCTTGCTTTAGGGTACTTAGTCATGGTTAAGTCTGTCTATTTGGCAATGTGGAACTTATGTGAGGTTAAAATGAAAATCCGTTTATATTTTCAGATTGCTTGTGACAACAGAAGAAACTCAAATAGTGAAAAAAATAATCATTAGCCTTAGAAATATTCTTCCCTAATGGGTGGGGATAGGGGGACAGGGGGTCAGGAATATAGATAGAGGATTTATGGTGTTTTAAATAAATATATAATGCAAATTCCATTGGGTATAGAAAGCATTTCATCACTTTGGAAACAAGTGTTACATCACCTCAGCCACTCTCGCTGTATTTTAAAGTGATTGCTATTTCTATAGAAAGGCATTTTCTGTTCCATTAACAAGCTGCTTAAAAACCACCTGCATAATTTTGAGCAAGCTGGATTTTTCTCACTCTGGAGCATTAACTAGACTTTACAACCTCATCTGAGAGAGGTCCCTTAAGAGCACTGCCAACTGCAAAGTATTTGGATTGAGATCTCATAAAACTTAGCTTAAATCTTGCCACTGCCACTTATGAGTCGCATAACCTTAGCTAAATTGATCATCTGCCCTGTGGGTCTTTGTCCCCACCTCCAAAATGAAGACACATGTCCTGGAGCCATGTAATTAGGCCTGGAGATTAGACCTGTAAAACTCCTAATACATAAACTGCGCCAATGCACAGCAGCTATAATCACACCAACATGAAATTTTACTGGAAGTTCATATCTGATTAGAACATTACCAGGAAATGAAGATGTATGTTATTTGTTGTGTGTGAGGGAGAATGCTCTTTTTGATCTATAGCCACGAGCAAAATTCTTCTATCTCAGAGAAAATCCAACACTGATCTAATTTAGAATCAAGATAAAGTGGTGAAAGAATGGTGGACAGTACAAAACATCTCTGGGAGTAATCTACTCTAAGGGTCTGTAAATCTGCCGCTGCCAAGACCAGACCCTCTGAGCATGTCTGGGCGTGAGCTTTCTCAGAAAGAAATGCATTCAATCGCTGAGGCAGATCTAACATAAAATCAAAATAGAAGATCTGGCATTTTGCAGGAAGTCCAAGACAAAACAGCAGCCGCAGCTCGTTGGGGGAGGGGGGGGCAGACAAGCAGCCATGGTGGGTAGTCAGGAATGTAGGACAGCCCAGATGTGCCAATTGAGAGCATCAGGCCATCAAATGTGATGTTACCCACTGAGGTGAGAACTGCCATCTCCCATAAACCTAACATGGCACCAACCAACCTCCTCCTACAAGTTTTGTTCTTGAAGTATCCTTTCCACTGAGGTGTGGGCTTACTGAATAGATTATTTTATAACTGATTACAAGTGGCAGGTTCAGGATAAGTAACAGAGAAAATGCTGATTCTGTCTATTGCACCATTATCCGGAGTGCCTGTATGTCAACTACCAGGTAGTTGTGGAAACTTTTGGACAAGGATTCAAAAGAATGACCCATAATATTTTTGTCATCAGACATAGCACCTTCATTGTAAAATAACTTTGAAACTCTGACCTTGAAGCCTGGAGGCTTAAGACCAGTTCCTCTTCCTGTGTGAAGGTTTCATTCTGGTTGGAAGGGCAGAATGCCATTCATTTAAGATGCTTCCTCATTTGTGCTAGCATCTCCAAACACACGTGCTTTTGAAGCTTTTGACAGGGAAGCCATTCTCAGCCCCACCAGGACACCAGCTGACCCCACCCGGCACATCTTTTGGCGTTCATTTCAGTAACGTGGGCGATGTCATCTATTTCACTCTGCCATCTCGCCAATCCTGGCCTCTGCTATATCACATTTTTTTCTCTAGCTTGTTTATACCCTGAGTCACTTTACTAGGATACCAAATCAGAGCAGCCCCACTTCCCTGGGAGGCAAAGGCACAGCCTGTGGAGCGGGGGCGGTGACACCTTCAAGAGGACTGGCAGGGTTTCACTGGAACACATGCTCTGGGGATGCCACGCGCCAGGTGCCTAGGACCTAGGACGCAGACAGCGACACGCCGAGCATCACGTAGGCGCTAGCCAAGGGCGCCAACCTGCCGCACCCGGGCCAGCCCCGCCCCGCTCCGCTCAAGGGCAAAAAGAAGGTCGCGGGGAGGGTGGGCTCAGGCCAGGGCGCCAGGCCCATAACCCAAGCATCTGTCTACCGTGTGGTCTCAAAACAGGTGAAAACGAGGCCTTTGAACTAATCTGCGGGACCGGGGAGGAGGGGAAAATAAAAACCAAACGCCAGCTCCAGAAGGCGTCTCCAGCCTGCACGATCCTTAAGGCTCCAAGGACTCATCCTGCCTGAGAAACGCCAATGCACTTTCTAGCGATTGGCTCACGCTACGCAGGGCTTTTTGCCTGGATCCGGAAAACCCACCGCCTGGGAACCCCTGCACCCCCACGTGCACCCAGCGCTAAGGTTCGGGCGTGGCTGTGTCACTCCTTCTCCACATTATAGAATTGCTTTCTGTTGCCTCCGCCGGCCAACTCCCCGAAATCCGCCTCCACGTTGGGGGTGGGGAGCCTGGCGTCCGCGCCGGGTGCAGGTGACGTACCGGAGTCCCCGTTTCCTGATCCTTACCATCCTGGGAGGCTAGCGGGTAGGCCTAGTGACCCATTTTAGTTTTTGGTTTGGTCACGAGCCGGAAGGGGACAGGAGATTAGAACGGCGGAAAACCTCTTTTAAAATCTCCCAGCGGAAATGTAAAGCGTGCGGGACATCTTGTAACCCGGGCCAGGGAACGCCCCGCGTCCCCCGTCGCGTCCTGCAATCAGCAGCGGAAACCCCGCAGCGCTGTGCAGGGACACGAATCCTCAGGTCGCGCTGCGGGGACCCGGCCGTCTCTGCCACGACATGGGGCGGGAGCCGTGGCACTGGAGGTGGCTGCGTGTAACCTCGCTTCAGGGGGGCCTCCAGCCCCATCCTACGACTCGGATTTGGAATGACCACGAGGGCGGTCCAGACAACCCCGTCGCCAGTTTCAATTTAAAAAATAAACGTGGAAGTGAAAAAGTAATTGATCTTCCTGGCTAAGGATTCTACTGCCATACTCCTCCCTCCCGCTCCCCTGCAGTGACTCCGGAGGCTGCGATGCCCGCCCCGCCCCGGGAAAGGACCCCAGCGGTTCCCGGGAGCCGGACGGCTCACCTATACTTCTCTTCTCCCCGCACCCCCATCGTTTGCCCCAGGTCCCCACATTTTCCCCTTGTTTCCTCCATCCCTTCTCCCCGGTATTCCCCCCCGCCCCGGCCCGGGAAGGTGGTCGCACACCTTGGGCATCCCCGCCGCTGGTCAGCACGCCGATGGCTTTTCCGTCCCCGGAGAGATGCTCCAGGAACTTTCGGAAGGAAGTCCTGGCGATCGAGGGGACATCGTCGTGGGCCATGGCGAACAGGCCGGAGACCGCGCTGGGCCGGGTGCTAGGCAGCCAGTGCGCCCCGCCCGCGCTGCGGCCGCTCCAAACCGCTCGCTCCGCCCACTACGCGTGCGCCAATCGGCAGCCGGGGGCGGGCACTCAGGGCGGGGCCTGCGGGCGATGGGCCGCGGCTGGGGCAAATCGCTCTGCAGTGTGCTTTGCAGGTGGGGGCGGGGCGCGCCGCTGGTGGGCGGGCAACGCAGGTGAGAAAACATTTCCCAAGGAAAGAGCCCCAGGTGTGTGTGTGTGGGTGGACTGTTACGAGTAGGGGTGCATCGTAGGGGTAAGGGAGGAGCATCGCAGATGGGAGGAGCATCATAGGTAGGCGGGATCACCGCCGCTGTGGGAGCATCGCGGGTGGGTAGGAGCTTCACAGTGCGAGAACGCAGCAGGTGGGCGGGGAATCACGAGGGGGGAGCACCACAGGTTGGGAGCAGTAACATCATAGGAGAACGGAGCATTATAGGTGGGAGAGAGTACCACGGGCGTGGGGTGATGGACCGCTGCAGGTGCGCGGAGCACCGCATTTGAGGGGAGCCCCACTGATGGGCGGGAGCACCAATTGCAGGGGACCGAACCCCTGCCGAGGCGCGCGCCCCTATTTTTGCATAATTGCTCGCCAGGAGGTGGTCGGAGCCGCGGGAATCCTAGCTGTCCCGCCGGCTACCCAAAGGCTCTCCTCCGGCCTCAAGGGCCTCAGTCGGGAGGAAGGACCAGGAGCGGACGCTCTAGTTGATGGGCCAACGTGGAGTCGCTGCCGGCGATGACGAAACCCTGACCCTTGTCTCCACACGGGCCCTGGCGCGCCCGCGGGCCCGGGAGAACGAGAAGGAACATGACTGTAGAGGGGACCTTAGCGACACCCTAGCTCCCGGCTTGGGCGGGAGGAAGGCAGGAAAGGCTGGCGGTGTAGATAAGACCCAAGTTCCTACCTAAGGAAATCGAGTTCCTGCGCTGTCAGCTGGTTGCTCTCAGCCCTGGTGGGAGCTCCAAACCTAGCATACTTGCATGGGTGTGTGTGTGTGTGTGTGGGTGTGTGTGTGTGACACTTTGCTGGGGTGCAGTGACCCTAAGAGTTTCATACAGGGTCCCATCCATTCGCAATTCACGGTGGAGATGGCACAGCATCTGAGCCTGCTAGGTACGCAATAAATGTTTGTCTAGTGGATAAAGGAGACTAAGAATGGCTCCTCTGTCCACTCAGAGAAGCCTGTGATAGCAACATAATCAAGCTATTTGCCATAGGGCCAGCCCACACGGAAGGGGAGTGGGCTGCACAGACTTAGGTTGGGTGCTTGCCTTCGCCTCATCTTGCTGTCTATTTCTCTGAGCATCAGAATTTTATTGTAAAAGAGAGAGGGAAAAAAATGCCTGCTGTGGACAAGCCTGGAGGTCTGATCTCTGCTCTCAGCCAGGATTAACTGAGAAATTTTGGAACCCCTATGATTATGGGAATCACCTGGCCTATTTTTTCTGGCTCCAGCAGAACCACCGAAGTCCAGTTTCCAGGAGAGCTGCCAGAGAATATGTATTTTTAACAAGCTCCCAGCTGTTCTGATTATTGCACAGTCTGAGAGCAACTGGCTGATGGATTGAGCTCAGCAGGGACAGAGATGCTGAAAAGGATGCTGGGTGTTTTGACAATGGCACACAGGCGGCCTTTACTCTCTAAGGACAGAGGAGCCAGGCTCTAAGCACCTCCACTCAGAGGTCTCCAGTACCCCCAGCCTAGGATTTATACTCTAAAATAATCCATTCCTTTCTAAAGCATACTACACTTGGAAAAGTTGGTGCACACTGAATTTTATCTTCTTAAAATGTGATGCTTTTATAATTTAGAGGACTGGTCATTTGTCATCGAATTGACTGAAATATAGAAAATGATAGATAGAAGCTAAGAGTTCAAACATGACATTGTATTATGCAAATTATGATAAAAATATGCACACATTTTCAATTGCTGTTTCAGTTTTGAAGGTAAATATCTATTGACTTGGAAATACGTTCTGGAAATATTAATAAGAGGCAAGGTTAGAAATAATGGAGGCCTGTGTGTGTGTGTGTGCGCGCGCGCATATATGTATAAATTAGTCCAGACCTTTTTATTACAGGTGTTGCTTATTACAGGTATTGTTTTTTCCTCTAGTGAACCAGTATTGTTTTTGGTATAAAAATATTACAGTTAAATAAAAACAATAAAGTTTAGAGTTGTCAGATTCCAAGGTTATGGCTGTTTTGCGAAATTACTCAGAGTTGTGGTTCAAATAGGAAATGCATGATTCTGCCCCGATTAAGCATATGAGCTCAGTTTCTCAGGAAATAATATAAACAGACATTAGCTAACATGGAAAGATAGAGACATGTCTCCTTCCTTTTACTTTTGCAATACATGTATTTTAATAGTTCAACTTGAGGTCTTTTGTTTTAACTTGGGCTTTAGAAGAGAACTCTCGATACCAGAGGGCAGAATTGCATGCCCTCTTAACTGTACAGCTCACCTCCAATAGGACATGATGCACCTTAATTTTCTATTGCTGCCTCATATAAATTCCTCCAAACTTCTGTGGCTTATGCCAAACCACACATATCACAGGAGCAATTACTCCAGGGGTCAGGAGTTCAGGTGGGCTTCACTAGACCCTCTGCTCAGGGTCTCAGGTGTGGGTGCAGGATCTGAAACTCACCAAGGGAAGGAAAGGTCTTCGTGCACTTCCGTGCTGTGAGCAGGATCCATCCCCTGAGGGCTGCTGGACAGAGGGCCTCCGTCTTTCATTGGGGTGAAGGCCTAAACCCTGTCTGTCATCTTGGCATTTTCCCTTGGTTCCAACCAGCAGCTAACTTTGAGCTAATCTGCAACCCCAGCTACACTTCCATCCCCTTTTCCTCACGCCTCCCCTTCCCTCTCCTTCTCCCTTAGATTTTGGAAAATCCAAGAATAAATGAAACCATTTGCTACACTAGAAAATGCTGTCTTCAACCCATTGCCTCCAGCGCAGTGAGCAGAAGCAGGACGGCAGGCACCGGCGCCCAGTGGGCAGCACCCAAGTTCTCAGACGTGTTTGGTCGATACTGGTGATGCCCACTTGCTTTTCCTTTCTTCACATATGTAACTGTTCTCCTTTATTCTTGATTTGGCAAAGTGTTTGTCAGTAGTTAAAAACAAAATCTTCTTTTGTTGAAATCGCCCCTCCCCCAAATTAGTGGCAGGCGGGGGGGTGGGGGGGGGGTGCGGAGGGGTAAGGGAAAAGGCCTAGGATTTGGATGTGAAGACCTGAGTTTGAACCTAGTTCTGCTGGTCAAAGATGAAAGCTCTGACCAACACTTTAACTAGAATATCTCCAGAAAGGGCTTCTGCTTTCCAGTGTCTTCGTGTTGTGGTCCCCACTTTCTTTACTCTCTGGTGATGGTACAGCAATAACTTCTTACCTGTTTGTTCTGCTTCCACCATCTAGTCTCACATCTGATATTAAAATACTTGAGTGTAGACCTGGCAAGAAGGCAGGTAACAGACTGAGGCACTATTACTGTGAGCAAAGGAGCTAAATTGTTCTGAAAACAATGTAATCGGTCACTAGAAACATTAAAGATAATTTGTCCCGCTATGAGAATTATTGAGGATTCATTAAATGCCAATATTCAATGTCGTCAACAACTTTATTTTTTATTTTTATTTAAAAAAATTTATTTTTAATCCTCACCCAAGGACATTTTGTGTTTATCTTCAGATAGAGTGGGAGGGAGAGAGCGTGGAACAGAGAAAGAGAGAAACATCAGTGTGAGAGACATATCGACTGGTTGCCACCCACATGACCCCAACCAGGGCCGGGACAAACTGCAACCGAGGTACGTGCCCTTAGTGGGAACCGATCCCAGAAACCCAGGACTCTCTCATCTGCGGGCCGACGCTCTAACTGCTGAACCAAACTGGCCAGGGCTCGTCAACAACTTTAAATAAGCCAGCCTCACCATGGCCGCAGTCCTGGAGGACATGGGGAGGAGGCTGGGCTCTGGGGTATGGGGTCTCAATTCTCCCATAAAGAGGATCTGATGGATTCCAGCCCCGACTGCCCCACCCGTGGGTCTGGGAGGAAGAAGTCCCTTCTGTGTCATCGCCTCACTTGCCCTCTGCCTCTTTGGCTAAAACACACTGCCTTCCAAGGCTCTGGATAGTGGAGCTGCACATAGAAACCTTTGTCCCCACAGGCGCCTGGTTCTGTCGCAGGAGACACCCCTCTCTTCTCAGGTTGCTTGGCTACTGGATTTCCACCTCCACGCCAACACTTGGACCTCAGTAGAGGATTCAGAAACTTTCTTTATAGTCAACTAAAAAATTAAAGGGCACATCTAGAGTGAGGTGAATAAAATGCAGAAAGTCTAGATGATGAGTCGGCATATATGCACATATACGAACAGTCCGCCTGGTTCCTACACGCAGGTCCAGTTCTGCTCTGGGCTTCCTAGCGCCCAAAGCACACGCGTGCAGAGGAGACGCTAAGATTCTCCATAAGGTCTTGCTTTTCAGGGAATGGGTTTTACAGAGTTTTTTTCTTAACATCTAGTGATTTGGAATCATAGAAATGACACAAGAGGATCTCTTAGGAGGAGTGTGGGCTTTTCCTGGTGGTAGAATAATAGGGAGCCCTGTACAGATAAGAGGTCAGTTCGGTGTAGGTAGAGGGAGTACAGAGGCTATTACTGGATTATTTTAAAGGAGTTTTCCACCAAAGTGTTAAATAGAGAAAGAGAGAGGAATAGTCCATCCCTTCTGCCCAGAGGTCCTGGCCAGATGTCCCGAGCCTCCCGTGAACATTTTGAAGACACTGCTATAGGGAAGGCAGCAGCTCTTATTCTAGAACGTGGCTGTCTCTGGCTATTCTGGTTCTGTTCTTTACATCCATTTAAAAAACTGGGGCTCGTCCAGCCAGTGTGGCTCAGTGGCTGAGCTTCGACCCGTGCACCAGGAGGTCGCTGGTTCGATTCTCAGTCAGGGCACATGCCCAGGTTGTGGGCCTGATC